TTTATTATTTTACATGTCGATCCCAGTTCCAAGTCCCTATCTCCCTCCCTCCTTCCCTCACTTCCTTCTTCCTCCCTCTCTCCCTCACTTTTACCTTCTCTGCCCTCTCACATGCACCCTGGCCACCGTCCCCTTCCATCCCCCCACCCAAATTCCATATGTAGGGGAATGCCATCCAGTTGGGGTCATGTAGATCTGACAGGTCATATGAAGTAGGGACTAGGGCTTCTCTCCTGTCTCTAGGTTAAGGCATTTATCCCTCCATGGGGGATGTGTTCTCAAGGTCCTTTTGTGCACCAGGGATACATCCTGGCTCTACTGTCTGAGGTCCCTTAGACTGTTCAGTCTTTCTGGCTGAGACCCATATTCAGGGGGGCCTGAGTCAGTCCCATTCTGGCTTCCCAGCTATCAGTCTAAGGGCCCGTTAGCACCACCTTGCCAAGGTAAGCTGTCTCTATGTGTTTCTGCAGCCTGGCTTTGTCCTCTCCATCTGCATCTGGGTTCTAGTTCGACTCAGTGTATGTATGGGTATTTGCTCCTGTTTCCAACAGGCATTAGATGAGGGTTCCATGGATAAGTTAGTTGTTGATTTCAATCTCCGGGAAGGGCATTCATGGTAGCCTTTCCACAGAAGCTCAATTTGTTAGTTAGTGGCAGTCTTGTAGTTCTCTAGACCTTTCTTTGTGTTCAATTTTCTCTTCAAACCAATAATTGCTCTCTCTTTTATGTTCTCTCTCTCTCTCTCTCTCTCTCTCTCTCTCTCAATCTCTCTTGTCTTCTATTCGAATCAGGCTCAATCTTCCTGGTCACACGTGTTTTGCTTTCCTCTCCCTCATATTCTCCTACTTCTCTCTCCATTTGCTGCCCATTTCATTTCCCCTGTGCTCTGGGGGATTCATCCCTTCCCGGTTCTTTGAGGGACTTTACATGAATCTCTTAGAATATACCTTGTATCCTAGTTCCTCTGGTGGTATGAATTACAGTCTGGTGATCATTTTATCTAGGTCTAACATCCATATATTATTGAGTACATACTATGTTCCTCTTTTTGTGACAGGGTTACCTCATTCAGGATGGTTTTTTCAAGTGCCATCCACTTGCCTGCGAATTTCAAGATACCATTATTTTTTCTGCAGAGTAGTATTCCATTGTGTAGATGTGCCACATATTCTTTATCCATTCTTCAATTGAGGGTCATCTAGGTTACTTCCAGGTTTTTGCTATTACAAATAGTGCTGCCGTGAACATAGTTGAACAGATGTCTTTTTTGCATGGATGTGGATCATTTGGGTATATGCCCAAGAGGGGGATTGCCGGGTCCTGTGGTAAACTAATTCCCATTTTCCTGAGGAACCGCCATACTGATCTCCAAAATGGCTGTATGAGTTTGTGTTCCCACCAGTAGTGGAGGAGTGTTCCCATTTCTACACAACCTCTCCAACATGAGTCATCATTTGTGTTTCTAATTTTAGCCATTCTGGCAAGAGTAAGATGGTATCTCAATGTTGTTTTGATTTGCATTTCCCTGATAGCTAAGGATGTGGAGCACTTTCTTAAGTGTCTTTCAGCCTTTTTGATTAACCCTATTGAGAATTCTTTCTTCAGTTATGTACCCCATTTTTAATAGGCTCATTTATTGTTTTGTTGACTAGTTTCTTGAGTTGTTTGCATATTTTGGAGATCAGCCCTTTGTCAGATATAGGATTGGTGAACATCTTTCCCATTCTGTGGGCTGCCATTTGGTCTTGTCCACTGTGTCCTTTGCTTTACAGAAAGTTTAGAGAGTTCCCATTTATTAATTTTTCGTCTCAGTTTCTGTGCCCCATTCAGGAAGTGGTCTCCTATACCAATTTGTTCAAGGATACCTCCTACTTTCTATTCTAAGAGGTTCAATGTGGTTGGATTGATGTTGAGGTCTTTGATCCATTTGGACTTGCGTTTTGTGCATGGCAACAGACATGGTTCTATCCGTAGTCTTCTACACATCCTCATCCAATTGTGCCAGCACCATTTATTGAAGATGCTGTCCTTTTCCCATTGTATAATTTTTGCTGTTTTGTCAAAAATCAGGTGTTCATAGGTATGTGGGATAATATGAGGATTTTCAATTAGATTCCATTGGTCTACCTGTCTATTTTTATGCCAATACCAGGCTGTTTTCAGAACTATAATTCTGTAGTAGAGCTTAAAGTCAGGAATGGTGATGCTTCCTGGAGTTCTTTTATTGTATAGGGTTGTTTTGGCTATCCTGGGTCTTTGTTTTTCCATATAAAGTTGATTATTATCCTTTCAAGGTCAGTGAAGAATTGTGGTGGGATTTTAATGGGAATCGCATTGAATCTGTAGGTGCCATATTTACTATGTTTATCCTACCTAAGAGCATGGGAGATCTTTTCATTTTCTGGTATCTTTAATTTCTTTGTTTTGAGCGACCAAGTTATTATATAGGTCTTTCACTTGCTTGGTAAATGTTACCCCAAGATACCTGATGTTGCTTGTGGCTATTGTAAAGGGTGATGTTTCTCTGATTTCTTTCTCTGTCTCTTTGTCGTCTGAAAATTGTAGGGCTACTGACTTTTTTGAGTTTATCTTGTATCCTGCTAGTTTGCTGAAGGTGTTTATCAGCTGTAGGAGTTCCGTGGTAGGGTTTATTGTGTCGCTTATGTAAACTATCATATCATCTGCAAATAGAGACCAATGAGATGATACCTAGGGAGCAAAGGACAGTTTGTACTATGGCCAAATATAGGAAACCATTACTATGTCACCACAATTACCCTTCCACATACACATTAGGTGGCACTCCTAAAATATTATCAACATGAATGGTGTGGATAAAGGGTTCAGTGTTTAAGGATACAGGCTGCTCTTCCTTAGGACCTGTGTTTAATTCCCAGCAACAACACAACAGCTCACAACCATCTGTAACAGCACTTCCAGGGGCTTTGATGCCCAGTTCTGGCCTTCTCATACATCACACATGAATGTGATACACAGAAAGAAGATACTAGGGATGCCACAGTCATGGTATATCTGCCAAGATATGCTGCTAACAGGGAGTACTACCATCCCAACAGAGAGAATTGCCTTTCACTGTAGCTATATGTGGATGCTGGGAACAAAGGCCAAGTCCTCAGTTCTTGTGGAGGAGCCAGTATTAACCAGTGATCCACCATTTATCCAGGTCAGACCCTTCCCTCTGGAACTACAGAGTAAAAAGTACTCATTTATGGAACCATGTTTATGGGACACAAGCTGGTTTTAATATTAACACTGCCAAATAAGAATTTACTTCAATTAAAATTTGATTGATTGTAGCTACAGTTACTTTTACAATTGTCTACAACCAGATGTTCTACACATTCCTGGTGTAAAGACACAGAGGTTAGAGGTTAAGGTATCCTCATCACTAAGACTGTATGCCTAACTCCCTTCATCATATAAGAGGTAATAATCAATGTAAATGTTACTATCCATAGTGAAATAAATGGAAATAACTTACTCAAAGATAGTATTTAAATCATCCTTCTTTCCAAAATACTATTCTGAAATTTAATTGTATTAAGCTTCCTTCTGAACCACAACAGAGTCACAAAACGAACAGCAGTTGTCAGAGTGCAAATGACAGTAAATTATTGTCATAGAAATTGCCAGGTCTCCTTGTGTTTCAGGAGGTCCTGGTGTAGGATGGAGTTTCATGTGCATGTTGGGAAAGTGGAATTGATTCTGGAGGGAGATCATTTCTACACTCAGGATGTGGGGGTTTGGGAAAATGCAGCACTTTTGTTGAGGAAACTTTGAAAGCCCATAGGTTCATGCACTTTTCTCAATTTCAGGAGATGGATCTAGGTCATCGGAAAGTAAAACCCTATACCTTACACTTATTAAACCAATAGCTCCAGCCCTTGTGGTAATATGTCAACACTCATATAATACTTGATTTACAAACAAATCTTTACATTGAAAAATGGACTTCTTTGCTACATATGATTAATAAGTAAGAACATCGCCAATGATTTCAGTTGTATTTGTCCAATCTTGTAGCTATGCCAGATCTCAATATGCTGGAGGCCTATTTTAAAATAGATTTAAATACAGTAAAACTTTCATACTTAACAGTCCTATGATAATATCGACCTGACATTCGACAAGAGAAATTTCCTATAATGCCAGTGGAATAAATTCACTCAAAAAACAAATATCATTCTCCAAGGAGCTTAAGACTAGAGGCCATGGCAGAGATAAGTCACCAAGCACAACTGAGCTTGTTCTTTTCTAGTACTTGCAAACATGACTTACTGTGTACACACACATGATGTCAAAGGGGTAATTATGCTGTAAAAGCAACTAATTACATTTATTTTAAAATGTAAGTGTATAAAGGAATTTCATGAATTCACCAAATAATAAACTGATTTTGGATTTTAAACACGATCATGTGAAAACTATTGCTTAGAAGTCATACTGTGAAACACTTTAGTCCATAATCGTAAGTCCATATTTAATAATTATTTGAAATAATGGCCTCAATTCATTACTATCAAATGAAACACACATAGTTTTAATCTTAATACTATTTGCTTCTGGGTATATTTTAAACTTGAACTTAATCCCAGTACATGGGAAGCAGAGACAGGTGGATCTCCATTACTCAAGGGAAGCCTCATCTACAGAGAATGATCCAAGACAGGCTCCAAAGCTAGAGAAACCCTGCAATGTGGAGGTAAAAACAACAACAAAAACAAGCAAATAAACAAAAAACAGCTTGTAATTTTACTGATCTTCTGGCTTATCATAACACAGTTCAAATTCAACATTCCATAAGATGGATCAAGTTGAAGCCTTGAAATCCTTTGCTGCTGAAATGTAACCCTTGATCCCATACAATTTTTTCCTCCTTAAGTTGGTTCTGGTCTGTGTTTCTCACAGTAACAGGAATCAAACTTGAAGGAGAGAATAGATAAAAATGGACACATACAAAGACTTTTAGATAAGCCTACCTGACATTGGAGGAAACTGTGGGCCTGCAAATTTCTTTTGCGGGACATTCTGTCCAGGACCTCTACAGATGTTTCCTGGAGGAGGAGGTGGTAGGATCCGGCCTCTTCGATCATATTGAGAGACAGGGCCTCTAGGACCTCTAGAGCCTCTAGGGCCTTTAAGCCTGTGAACAGGTGGAGGAGTCAAGCCATGACCAGCTGCATTGTTTTCAGGAGGTCTAGTGGTGGGCAACGTTTCCTTCTGGAACAGAATGATAATCCACATCAGCAGTCAGTGAAGTGGCTTGACACAGCTCCTTTACTGGGAGTGTCAGGCAAAGAAAAGGAAGTCCATGACATTCCAGCAAGTCTGGGAACAGTTTGAGTTTCCCACATGTGTGTAGGATCAGCTTATTTGATATCCTAATTAATTTTACTAATTAAACAGAAATCTTTAAGCATATTAGTAACAATCTACCTAGCTCACCCTAAAACAAAAACACAGTTCAGCTACATCAAAAAACGACACTTTTTAAGATATCTGAAATAGTGTATAGTACATAAAAAAGCTTGGAATTTCATCTATATGTTGTACTTCATAAAGTGGGAGATATCAGGTTTCTTTCTTTTGTTTGTTTATTTTAATACTTTTTCATCTTACTGGAATGTGTTTTTTTCTGCATGCATATCTGCATACTCTATACTTTCAATATTCTGGAAGGATAGAATACCATTTCAGATGTCTTAAAATGGAGTTAAGAAGGGTGGTGAGCCCACACTCAGGTGCTAGGAATCAAATCCAGGTAATGTAGGAGAGCCACCAGTGTTCTTAAAGTGTATGCATTTCTAAAGCTTATATTTTTTTGAGGCAAATGCTAGTTCATATAGTCATATAGTCCACATTGGCTTTCAAATTACCATGCCTGGCCTCAGCCTGCCAAAATGATAGGATTACATGGGCCATCAAAACCTGCCTTGTGTTCCATACTATTTCATAGAAGGTTACAAATCAATAAAGAATGTGTTAATCTAAGTGCAAGTGCATTTTATTAATATAACAAAGTAGAAGAGCTCAAGCCTTGTTCTAATAAAACCAAGAAACTAGCTGTAGATCCACAGGAAGAATTCAATTTCCAATACTTCCCTGTATCATGTTTGGTGGCATGCTTTCCGGATTCCAAAGTGGAAGGTACTGGCCCATCTAGACAAAAATTACACCCCCCCAAAAAAAGCTACATGAGTACTAATTTTATTCCCAGACCATTAACAGATGCAAATGACCCTGATATATCCCACTCCCCTTGCTGGGACAGAGAACAACGCGACTTAAATACAATAATATACTTCATTAGGGTGCCAAAAGCAGCCTCAGACTAGGAGAAATTTAAACAGCACAGATATCCTTTTGCAGGGTGATGTTGACCTATTCAGCCCTGTCAGCCCAAGGAAACAACTCAGGATGCACCACCCAGTTCCATCCTTCTACCTGTGCCAACATTGCCCTCAGCATATAGAATATACTATTATGTAAAATTTTCCCTAATAAATAACTCAACAAATACACAATGAAAATTTAAATTTCTGAATTTTATTCTTTCTTAATGTTAGCTAGTTTAGTACCTACTATAGACTGTAACATGTGAGCTATATAAACACTATTCTCCCGAAGATTGTTCTGGCCTGTGTTTCTCACAGTAATAGTAACCAAACTTGAACAAAAGCTGATAAATATTGAGTCATACGTGGACTTTCGTGTAGCCTACCTGGAAATGGATGAAAAGTTGGGTTAGAAAAATCCCATGGTGGAATGCAATGTCTTGGATCTCCATAGAGATTTTCTGGAGGATATGGTGGTGGGGGGAAGAACTCAGCTCTTGTAGGAAGGTAAGGTATAAATCCCCATGGTTCGTATGCATTTCTCCCTGTTGGAAGAGATGGGTAAAGGACAATGCAAGTTGAAACCACACACTACACACTTCTTCAACCACTAAGTCAGGCCCATATCCTGATATCCACACACTAACACCAACATATTTCAACTCTCAAATAAATACTTCTCACCTAGTTGGAAAAATAGTAACTTCACCATCAGTTTCAGGTGTGTTTGTACTAATTTGGAAGGTAAGCAGACCAACACAGGCTCCAAAGTGATAGCAAATCCTTGAATTGAGGAAAACAAAACAAACAAACAAACAAAAAAACCAACCCTCTGGTAAAATTGCTGATTTTTCTGACCTATCAAAAAACAATCAAAATTTAAAATTCCCTAAGATGGATCAAGGTGAAGCCTTGACTTCCCTTGTGGCTGGGATATAACCTGTGAACCATATAAACCCTTACAACCTCAAGTTGGTTAAGGATAGTTTTAACACAGTAACTGGAAGCAAACTTGAAGGAAAACACGGATAAACATTGACATACACAAGAACCATTAAAAAAGCTTACCTGCCATTGGGGGAAATGGTGGACCAGGGAAGATTCTTGTAGGAAAATAGCCACATTGATCACCATAGATGTTTTCTGGAGGATATGGGAGTGGGGGAAAGAACCCAACTCTTGGGTGAAGATAAGGTGGAAAGCACCTTGGTTCATACACATTTCTACCTGCTCAAAGAGATGGGTAAAAGACAATGGTAGAAGAAATCCTGTACTGTACACTTATTGAAACACTAACTCCAGCCCCTACTCTGTTATCCAAACACTCACATCACAATATTCGTTCTCACATATAAAACTTGACATTCAAAATTGGACTTCTTATCTACTTAGGAATAATAACAACATCAACAACACTTTCGGGTTTGTTTGTCCTAACTTGGCAGATAAAAAGATCTCAATGCAATCCACACTTACTGTAAAACAGCTTTTCCATGGTGTAAAACTTTCAAACTTAGCATGCATATCAGTGATCCTGAACTGATATCCTAATAGAAACATTTCCTCTAATGCCAAGGACTAACTTAAAACTTCCCAAACAAAACTCATGCCATTCCAATAGAAGTTTAAGAGCAGAGGTGAGGACAGAAAGAGAGAGAGAGAGAGAGAGAGAGAGAGAGAGAGAGAGAGAGAGAGAGAGAGAGAGAGAGAGATACCTAGGACAAGTAAGCCGGTTCTTATCTATTACTTAAAAACATAATTAACTGTGTAGAAACTCATGATTCCAAAGGAGCAAGTATGATGTCAAAGCAGTACATTACATTTCTTTTAAAATGTAATGGTAGGAAAATATTTCAATGAATTCAACTAATAGCTATGGTCTTAGATTTTAAATATGACACTGTAGGAACTACTGCACAGGAGAAATGATTTAAAATATTTTAGTCAGATATCTTAAGAAAAACAACTATAATTAATTACTATAATGGCCTCAAAACATTTCTGTCAAATAAAATACAAATATTTTAAGGTGAAACTGCTTGTAGAAGGACATTTGTGCCTCAAGACTGTAAACCCAGCTTTTGGGAAGCAGAGACAGGTGGATATTTGTGATTTCAAGGCTAGTCTAGTCTGCACAATGATTTTCAGGAAAGTCTCCAAAGCTATAGAGAAACCCTGCCTGGAGGAATAAAACAAGGAAAATGTGCTTGTGAATTTATTGATTATCTGATCTAACACTGGACATATTAAATTCTAATTGCCTAGGGTGGATTGACTTCCTTTCTTTCTGAATAGTGACCTGTGAGCCATATAAACCCTTTCCTCCTCAGGTTAGTTCCGGCCAGTGTTTCTTACACTAACAGGAAGCGAACTTGAAAGGAAGCACTGATAAAACACTGATGCACATACATGGTCCTTTAAAAAAGCCTACCTGGCATAGGAGGGAATGGTGGGCCTGGGAAGTCCCTTGGTGGATCATACTGTGGAGCATCTCCATAGATGTTTCCTGGAGGCAGAACATGGCAACCTGGATCCCCTGGGAAGGCAGGGCCTCTGGGGGGTCTGACCTCAGGAACCAGTGGAACATCCAAGTCTTGTCCAGAAGCTTTGCATCCAGCATAGCCAGAATTGGGCAAAGTTGATTTCTGTAACAGAGTGGCAATCAACAGTCAGTGAAATTGTTTGATTCACAGATCCTTTACTGGATGTGAAAGGCGTAAAAGAAAGCAGTACATGGAACTCCAGAAAGCATGAGAACAGGCAGTTTTCCACAGAAGTTTAGGAGCCCCTTATTTGTTATCCTAAGTATTTTAAATAACTCAAGAGAAATCTTTAAGCATGATAGGTAGTAACACTCATCCTAAAATGCAAGTACAGTTCAAGCATATCAAAACAGACTCTCTAAAAATAGAAATGTATCATGGGGTGGTAGCACAGGTTTTAAATAACAGAACTCAGAAAGCAAAGGTAGGTGGATCTCTGCCAGTTTGAGGCCAATCTGATGAAAAGTGTGAGTTCTGAGTTCGAGGACATGCTCCATAGATTCTGGAAAACCCTATCTCCGGGGGGGGGGAACATACAAATAAAAGAAACTTTTACAAAAAAACACCAATAAAAGGAAAATGGTAAAGATGTTGATTTTTAAAAATGGCCAAAATTAATGCTATATTTGAAAACGAAAATAAACTTTAAGATTCAAATAAGGTATCAAGGAAGAAATATCTGAAATAGTGTACAGCATGCAAATAAATTTTGAAATTCATCTAAACGTTGAACTTTTTAAAGTATTAGGTACCTTATTTTAGTGTTCTTTTAAATTACACATGAATTGGTATATTGCCTCATGTATCTGCATACTACACATCCAGTGTTCTGGAAGGATAGACTTGGGATTCAGATCTCTTGAAACAGGAGTTAAGTATTGGGAGCCATCACTCAGGTGCTTGGAAACAAACCCAGGTCCTCTACGAGAGTTGGCAAGGCTCTTAACCTCTAAGCCATTTCTCTAGCCTGTGTAGTTTTTTGAGACAAGATCTGCTTATACAACACAAACTGGCTTTCAAATTGCCATCCTTCTGCCTAAATGTTAGGATTACATGGACCATCAATACCTGGCCTGTGATCTGTACAATTTCTCAGGTTATAAGCCAACAATGAAAGGGTTAATGCTAAGTTCAGGTATATTTCATATATATGGAGATATCATACAGTAGAAGAGCTCTGTCTTGTTCTAATCAAATCAAGAAACTCCTTGTGGATCCACGGGTAGATTTCAATGTCCAATACTTACCCCAGGGTTATGTTTGCTGGCACTTTTCCCGGATTCCAAAGTAGAGGATACTGGCCTATCTAGACAGGAAAATTAAACCAGGAAAACTTGATGAGTTTTATTTTATTCCTAGACCACTTTCAGATCCAAATGGCACTGACATGTTCCACTCCCCATGCCAGGGAAGAGAATAAATTGACACAAATACAATAGTGTTCCTCATTAGGATTCTCAAAGCAGAGGGAGACAGAACAGATATTCTTTTGTCATGTGCTGCTGACCTTTCCAGCTGGACCCTAAGCAATTTGAAGATTGTGTGTGGAAATGTCAGGGATGAACAAGAAATCTAGTGCAATAGAAACTCCCAGGAAACTACAAGGCTGACCACAGTTAAGGGATCCAGATCCTTTACTGGCCATTTTCTATAATCAGGTGAGGCTTCAAATTGAGGGACTGAGAGACCAACTCAGCAACAAAACCTTAACCTTACAAGTAGTCCTGCCTACAAAAAGAGACAGAGGAAATGTGTCTCACAATCTGTGTGAGAGGCCAACTGTGGTGGTTTGGGAAAAAATGGCTCCCAAAGGGAGTGGCACTATTAGGAGGTATGGCCTTATTGGTGGAAGTGCGTCATTGTGCAGAAGGAGAGTGAGAAGAATATGTTGTTTCTATGTGAAATGAAAAAAAATATTTTAAAAATATGTTCATGGATATATATAAATATATAATATGCTGTCAATATAAGAATCTATATTTAAAAAGGCAGTTGAAGGACAAAAGCCACATGGCAGCATCCTCTGAAGAGTTGTTAACATCGCTTCTGAACAGATGCTTTCCATTGTATCTACCATTGTCTAACTTACTAAGGATTATATATTGCTTTTATGTTTTGTTTTTAAAGGCAGATAAAGCAGAGAATGTTACTCATGTAACCTATGACTATACATTTGAATTGGTCAAAAAAATGCACAATTCAATTTCTTGAGCTTTCACCCTTCCCATTATTACTTCAATTACCCAAAGTGTAAGGGAAACTAAATGTGTTTTCACGCTCTTGTCTTGATGCTAAGAGCAAATGAAGACATAGCATAAAACTTGGTCTCTAGGATTCACAGAGAAAGGGACTGAAATTTAGTATGTGATTACTTCAGGCCAGAATTAGCCTTTAAATCATGAGTTCGATTTCTTGAATTGTAAATTTTAGGTCAGATATAGAACAAGTATGCATACTTCTATGCATGGTAAAATTAATAGCATTTTGAGAATAGAAATAGCTAACAGACAGTAAAATAGTGGTCCAGGAAGAGAAAGAAGCAAAACAGGCTGAAACAGAGATTTAATGATGTCAAGATTACAAAAGTTTCAATATAAAACTTTATTGTAAATAATTACCAGTCATAAGTTCTTTTAAATCTGCTCAATCAAGAATAAAATGGGAATTATGAGGTAGAAATACATGTTGTAAAAATGTAGAAACAGAGCAGGGGGAAACCGTGTGTTCAACACAAAGCTTAGCTTCCTGTCTGGAGCAGAAACACCTCCTGCACACTGACTTTTCCCAATGACACTAGGGAACCATTCTAGTCACTATCACAGCTCTGTGCAAGAGAATGAGTTCTTATGCTGTCCCTTGACACCTATGCAAAATCCAACTGAATAGAGAAAAATCACTGATTCAACCCCTCATGGGAAATTCATTAGTTAGGTCTCAACCTCCATTCCTATCAGTATGCAAGACCAAGAACATGAACACCAGTCTGGAGAAACTTCAACTCCCTACCTCAGAAAGAGGTGCCTTAGGACAGTTACATGGTGTCAGCTCTCTCAACCCAACCCACAGAAAACAATCAACATTTCACACATTAAGAATAAAATGAAAGATGTAGAGATTCACGCCCTTAATTCCAGCACTCCATGGGCAGAAACAGGAATGGCTCCAAATTCAAGGCAAGCATGGTCAACACAGCAAGTGCCTGGACAATCAAAGCTACACACACAAAAACCCTGTCTCTAAGAAACAAACAAATAAATAACTAGAAAGTCAAAATAAGAGAACCAGAAATTATATAAGAAACCAGTCAGTAGAACTTCCAGGATATAGGGGAATTACTCACTGTGTCAGCCTGAGACCCTGAGCTCTCTAAATAACCTACTGTAGAAAAATTATCTTACAGCTGTTAACTTATCATCATACATTTAGCACAAAATTGGGTGTGCCTGTGTCTGCTTGTGCATGCTCTCTCTCTCTGTATATCTCTCTCTCTCTCTCTCTCTCTCTCTCTCTCTCTCTCTCTCTCTCTCTCTCTCACACACACACACACACACACACACACACTAGTTTTAAGGTTCAAAACCTTAAAGTTTGAACCTTAAAACTAGTCAGTGGACAAAAGAAAATCCTGAAATTCATCATTAGACAATATCCTGTCTTTCTTTCAAGTATAAAACATATTTAAGGTTTTAAAATGTATTGCTTTATTTTGGGTCATTTATATCTAACTAAAAGTAGTAGGGTGCATACTTTGTAAGATACTCAAATCAGAAAATCCACAAATGTTGGCTAGGCAGTGGTGGTGCATGCTTGTAATCCCTGCACTTGGGAGGCAGAGGCAGGCAGATTAAATGAGCTTGAGACCAACGTCATGAACAAGAGCTAGTTCCAGGACAGCCTCCAAAGCCAAAGAAAAACCCTGTCCCATTTCTCAAAATAAATAATTAAATAAATAAATCGAAAGAAATTAAAAGAAAAAAGAAAAATGTGCTCTCCGGGCTTGGGCTTAGGTTCCAGCTACATGGCTAAATGCGCCAAGATGGTCGGGATCTTCAGGAAATACGGGACCCGCTATGGTGCCTCCCAAGTACACTTGGTGCACGCCAAGTACACTTGCTCCTTCTGTGGCAAGACCACGATGAAGAGATGAGCAGTTGGCATCTGGCACTGTGGTTCCTGCATGAATACAGTGGCAGGTGGGGCCTGGAGTCACAACACTACTTCTGCAGTCGCAGTGAAGTCTGCCATCAGAAGACTGAAGGAACTGAAAGACCAGTAGAAATGCTATTGCTTGGAAACCCCTGCATCTAATAAATGATTTAATTTACGTAAAAAAAAAAAGAAAAAGAAAAATATTTTATGTTATTTTATGTTGTTTTGTTATTTTTAGTTTTTTTCTGTAATTTATGTATGCAAGTATTTTGTGTACTTGCATGCCTCTGGACTATATACTCACAACCATGAACTACATACCTGTATAGAGCATTACATACATGCTGGTACATATCATGCATGATGTATAACATGGGCAAGCATATTGTACATAGCATTGCATGCATACCTGTGCTCTACTTGCATGCTTAGTGCACTACATATATGCCTTTTGCAACAATGAATACCTGGTACATTACAGGCATGCCTGGTGTACTTCATGAATATCTGTACACTATATGTATGGGTAAGCACCACATACATACATTGTGAAATTGTAGGTAAAAGAGGCCATTGGATTTCCTGGGATTGGAATTGCCATGTGGATGTTAGGAACCAAGACCATGTCCTCTTATCTGCACTAGATTCCAGTCTTAACTAATGATTCACCATCAGTCCAGCCCCCCACAATCTTCTCTTTTGAAGGACTAATTTTTTGCACAGCTGAAAAGACTAATTTAGTGGAAAACGTTTATGGGAAACTGGCTGGGTTCAGTAATACCAAAGACAAACAATGCTTTAAATAAATTAAAATTCATTTGATTAAACACACAGTTACCTTTACTTTTGCCTAAAATCATGGTGAACACATTTCTGGTATAAAGAAACAGCTTTTTGAGTTTAAGATACATCAATTATGAGATTGCCTGTACAAAACTTCCACAATTATGGATGACATAATCAAAGTAAAATACATTATGCAGAATAAAATGAAGTGGAAATAATTCACTCATAAGATTCATATTTAAATCATCTTTTCTACAAACTACTATCCTGACAATATGTTTCCATTAAGCTGCAATTTGAGCAACAATATAATCACATAAGTAACAAAAGTGATCTTGAACTGAAAATGAGAAGAAATGACCGCCATAGAAATGGTCAGGTCTCCTGTGTTTGTGGAGGTTCTGGGGAAGATTGTTTGGAAGGCAGAATCAAGTCTGGAGAGAGTTCATTTCTACTTCTCAAAAGAGAGAGTGGGGAGAAGAACCCAGAAGTTGAGAGAAGGGAAAATGGAAAGCCCCTCAGTTTGTACACATTCTACCCTGTTGCAAGAGATGAGTAAACGACAGTGGAGGTTGAAATCCTGTATGGCACACATAGTAAACCACAAACTACAGCCCATACTGGTACAAAACTCACACCACAATATTTGATCTTACAAATAATCTTGATATTTAAAGTGGACTTCTTACCTACATGGGATTCATAAGAACACCACCACCAATTTCAGATGTCTTTGTGCTGTCTTAGCAGCTACTCTTGATCTCAATACACTCAAGACATATTGTAGAACAGATTTCAATGTAGTAAAACTTTCAAGAGTAACATTGAAATCAGTGATCCTGGCATGATATCCTAAATAAATTTTTCTGTAATGACAAGAACAACTACAAAACTTCCGAAAGAAAATACATGTCATACTCTTGGAAGGTTAAGAATAGATATGAGGGAAGAGAACAGGCAGGGATAACTAAGCTGGTTCTTCTCTATTACTTTAAAACATGATTTATTGTGTAGAAACTTCTGATTCCAAAGGGGAAAGTATGCTATAAAAGAAAAGAAAAACTTTTATTTTAAAATGTAAGTGTAAGAAGAAATTTCAATGATTTCAGCAAATAATTAAAGTGATCTTAGATTTTAAATATGATAATGTGGGAAGAACTACCCAGAAGAAATACTTTTAAGCACTTTAGCCAGTAATCTAAAGACAAAATATAAATAATTAATGTAAATATCAGCCTCAGTACACATTTCTATAAAATGGTATACGCATAATTTGGGCCTGAAACCTGCTTGTAGCTAGGTATTGGTGGCACAGGCATTTAATCCCAAAATTGGAAAGCAGAGTCAGGTGTATCTCTGTGAGTTCAAGCTGAGCCTGGTCTACAGAGTGAATTCCAGGACAGGCTCAAAAGTTATAGAAAAACCCTGCCTTGAGGAGAAAAAAAGTGCTTGTAAATTTGCTGATCTTCTGAACTATCACAGTACATTTAAAATTCAAAATTCCCTAAGGTAGTTCAAGGTGAAACATTGACTTCTTTGCTGCTGGACTGTTACCTGTGAGCCATGACAAGCCTTTCTCCCTCAAGTTGCTTCTGGCCAGTGTTTCTCATCGTAACAGGAACCAAACATGAAGGAACACACAGATACATATTTATTCATATAAGGGCCTTTTAAAAAGCCTACCTGACTTTGGAGGAAACCTTGGGCCAGCACATCCCTTTGATGGGACATACTGTCGAGCATCTGCAGGAAGTGGTGGTGGTTTCTGGCCTCTTGGATTCTGTGGAATGGAAGGGTGTCCATGATCTCTAGGGCCTGAAACCTTGGCCACCAGTGGAGGAGTCAAGCCATGGACAGCCACTTTGCATTTAGCAGGGCCAGAGTTGGGAAAAGTTGCTTTCTGTAACAGAGTCACAATCATTAGTCTGTGTAGTGGCTTGATTCACAGCTCCTTTCCTGGGAGTGGCAGGCAAAGAAGAAAGAATTCCATAATGTTGAAGCAAGAATGGTAACAGGCTCAGTTTTCCACATGGGTTGAGGAGGTCCTTGTTTTCTCTCCTAAGTAATTTTACGAACTCAACAGAAATCTTTAAGCATGGTAGTAACACTCTACCTAGCTCACTCTCAAACACAATTATAGATCATGAAGATCGAAACGGATACTTTTTAAACTAGTTATACACCAGGAAGATGAGGTAGTGAGATTGAATCCCAGAACAAGGGTTGTAGAGGAAGGTGGATCTCTGTCTATTCAAGGCTAGCCTTGTCAAAAGAGTGACTTCCATGACTGGAACCATTGCTACTTTGAAACCCTATCATTAAGAAAAAGAAAAAAAAATAACCATACACATTTATCAAACACACAGGAAATGAAAATGGATAAGATGCTGTTAGGTCTCCCGGAGCACAGGGGAAGTGGCAGGAATGGGGGCAGTGAAAGGAGAGAGAAGTAGGAGAAAACAAGGGGCAGGAAAGGAAAACACGTGCAACCAGGAAGATATAGCCTGGTTAAGAATAGAAGACAGGAGAGAGAGAGAGAGAGAGAGAGAGAGAGAGAGAGAGAGAGAGAGAGAGAACATAAAAGAGGGAGCCAATATTGGTTTGAAAAGAAAACTGAACACAAAGAAAGGACTAGAGAACTACAAGACTGCCACCAACTAACAATATGAGCATCCATGGAAAGGCTACCATAAATGCCCTTTCCGGAGAGTGAGATTAACAATTATCCATGGAGCCCTCATGGAATACCTTTTGGAAACAGGAGCAAACACACATACATAAACACTGAGTCGAGCTAGAACCCAGAAGCAGATGGAGAGGACAAGACCAGGCAGCAGAAACACATAGAGACAGCTTACGTGAACAAGGAAGAGATAATGGGCCACCAGACTGATAGCTGGGAAGCCAGCATGGGACTGACTCAGGCCCCACTGAATATGGGTCTCAGCCAGAAAGACTGAACAGTCTAAGGGACCTCAGACAATGAAGCCAAGATGTATCCCTGGTGCACCAAAGGACCTTGTGAACATATCCCCCATGGAGGGATAACTGCCTTAACCTAGAGACAGGAGAGAAGCCCCAGTCCCTACTTCACATGACCTGTCAGATTTACATGACCCCAACTGGATGGCATTCCCCTTCATATGGAATTGGGGTGGGGGTGGGAGGGATGGGTGGTTAGGGTGCAAGTGAGAGGGCAGAGAGGGTAAAATGAAGGGAGGGGGAGGAAGGGAATAAAGGAGGGAGAGAGGGAGGGAGAGGGAACTGCGATCGACATGTAAAATAATAAATTAAATTAAAAAATGCTTTGACTCCAAAATTTAAGTTCAAGGACAAGTTATTGGGGAGTAGGATTTCTATTTTTGTTTCCACAGAAAATGCAAAGCTGTGGATTCCTTCCAGACTAATGTGGTTTGATAAAGCCAGACTGCCTGAAAAAGAGTACCAGGTGATCATACATTCAAAACAGCTGGACAAAGCAGCCTTACAGACTACAGCCAGGATTTCTACATCTTCTTAGAATCCCCCATGTCTGTGCCCCTTTCCAGCAGGAAGTAGTTTGGAAAGAACGACGCCCAAATTCACAAATATTGTCTATAAATATTTGTTTTCATTTAAATGGACTTGGTTATATAAAATAAAGAAAGAAAGAAAGAAAATTGTTAAGGTGTTTATAATTTCTAATTGACCCAAATTAATGCTATATTTAAAAATCTAGAGTTTCCAGTGAGATCCAACTATCCTGCAAAACCTTCTCAAGTTCTAGCTCAGCCCTTGTCCTCTTCTGCTGGCTATTGGCCAGAGGTGAGTCTGGGCCCAATCAGGGCTGTCTTTCCCCTACAATCTCTTTTCCCCCCTCCCCCACCGAATTCCCTGGGTTGGCCCCTGATCCTGCTGCTCCTGTCTCAGGTCCCCATCTAGAGCACCCTTGGAGCTCTGATACACCCCCACCCATCCCCAAGGCCAGACTACCCCCCCTACCCTGTGCCCTACCCCACACATGGTCCTGCCAAACTGGTTGAGCACTGGGACAGAGGGTGGAGCCAACAGTCAAACCTACTTCGGAGACTTCTCTGAGCAACTCTGAACAAAGGAGACCTGACTATCCACTTGGGACCACCCATAATTTCCACCAGTTTGGATTCTGACCCTGCCTCCAGTCCTCTGCTGGAGTCCCGGGCCCCTCCCAGAGATCCGCCTATCTCTGCGGGTTTACTCTGAGTTCCTGCAGGCAACATCCTTGATCACCAAATCCTGGCCTCTGCCAAAGAAAGAGGTCTCAGCTGGAGAGCGCCAGTTTCCAGGGAGATCCAACTATCCTGCAAAACCTTCTCAAGTTCCAGCTCAGCCCTTGTCCTCTTCCACCAGCTACTGGGCAGAGCTATTGGACAGAGCTATTGGACAGAGCTATTGGCCAGAGGACCACTGTGAGTACCTGCTGGCATCTTCTTCTGGATCCTCATCCTTGACACCATCCTTGGATTCCTGTCTGCGGAGAAACCTCGAAGAGAGTTTGGACCACACAGAGCTACAGATATTGAATCACAGACCCACATAAGCCCATTGGGGAAGTATCATAGAGAGAGGGGGGGAAACCCAACCAACACCTACTGGAAGAAGCTATGGGAAGAAGGCAATACAAGAGAACACCTAACAACAGAAAGACAAGCATGACACCACCAGAATCTAGGGAAACTACACCAACTAGAATGGAACACAACAACAAAGCAGAGGAAGCAGAAGGGTATGACTTAAAAATCACCATCATAAAAATGATAGAGACCCTCAAAGAAGATGTGAGAAAATCCCTTAAAGAAATGGATGAAAAAAACAAACAAAAAAATGGAAGAAATGAACAAATTTCTTAAGGAAAGTACAGAAAGCCAAGAAAAAACAATTAAGCAGGTAAAGGAAATAGTTCAAAACTTGAAAACTGAAATAGAGAAAATAAAGACAACACAAACGGAAGGAATGCTGGAAATTGAAAAGCTGGGCAAAAAATCGGGAACTACAGACACAAGCATAACCAACAGAATTCAAGAGATGGAAGAAAGAATCTCAGGCGCAGAAGATAAACTAGAAGAAATAGATTCATCGACCAAAGAAAATCATACATCCAACAAATCCTTAATTAAAAACATACAGGAAATGTGGGACACCATGAAAAGGCCAAACCTAAGAATAATAGGCATAGAGTAAGGTGAGGAAGCCCAGCTCAAAGGTGCCGAAAACATATTCAACAAAATCATCGAGGACAACTTTCCAAATTTGAAGAAGGACATGCCCATGAAAGGAAAAGAAGCATACCGAACCCCAAATAGGCTGGACCAAAGGAAAAAGACCCCTTGACATATAATAATCAAAACACCTAGCATACAGAATAAAGAAAAAGTATTAAGAGCAGCGAAGGAAAAAGGACAGGTAACATATAAAGGCAGACCTATCAAAAATACACCTGACTTCTCCATGGAAACCCACAAGGCCAGAAGGTCCTGGAGAGATGTTCTACAAGTATTAAGAGAACACGGATGCCAGCCTAGGCTACTATATCCAGCAAAACTCCCAATCACTGTAGATGGAGAGAACAAGATATTTAACGTCAAAAGCAGATTTTCCCAATACGTATCTACAAATCCAGCCCTACAGAAAGTATTGAAAGGAAAATTATAACCCAAGGAAGGTAACTATGCCCGCAAAAATGTAGACAACAGATAATCCAACTACACTAGAAACCAAGGGTGAAGCAGAACTAATATATTCACAATATCACTGCCAACAACAAACCTAGATCAAACAAGCATCAACAATCAATGGTCCTTACTCACCCTCAACATTAATAGTCTTAACTCACCTATAAAAAGACACAGGCTAACAGAATGGATACGAAGACAGAATCCATCCTTCTGCTGCATACAAGAAACACATCTAAGATTCAAAGGTAGACATTACCTCAGGGTAAAGGGTTGGGAAAAGATTTTCCAATCAAAAGGAAATAAGAAGCAAGCAGGCTTAGCTATCCTAATATCTAACAAGTTAGACTTCAAACCAAAATTAGTCAAAAGAGATGAAGACAGTCATTTCATATTCATCGCAGGAGAAATCCATCACTACAAAGTCTCAGTTCTGTACATCTATGCCCCTAATACAAAGTCACCCACATTCGTAAAAGAAAAACTACTAAAACTCAAAGCTCATATAAAACCTCACATACTTATAGTGGGGGACTTCAATGCACCACTCTCAACACTAGACAGAACTACAAATCAGAAACTCAACAAAGAAACAAAAGAATTAACAGAAGTTATGTCTCAACTGGGATTAACAGACATCTATAGAACATTCCATCCAAAGACAAAAGAATATATCTTCTTCTCTGCTCCACATGGAACCTTCTCTAAAATCAACCACATACTAGGTGACATAACAAACTTCAACAGATACAAGAGAATAGGAATAGTCCCCTGTATCTTATCAGACCACCATGCTTTAAAATTGGAATTCAACAACACCACAAATAGCAGAAAACCTGCAAACTCATGGAAACTGAACAATGTGCAATTGAACCACTCCTGGGTCAAAGAAGAAATAAAGAAAGAAATTAAAGACTTTCTAATATTCAACGAGAATGAGGATACAACATACCCAAACTTATGGGACACCTTGAAAGCAGTGCTGAGAATGAAGTTCATTGCATTAAGTGCGCATATGAAGAAAACAGAAGATAGTCACATAAGAGAATTAACAGCCCAATTGAAAACCTTAGAAAACAGAGATGCGAATTCACCCCGAAGGAGTAGATGCCAGGAAATAATCAACTTGAAGGATGAAATCAACAAAATAGAAACCAGGAAAACAATACAAAAAAAAAAAAAAAATCAATGCAACAAAGAGTTGGTTTTC